CAGGGAAAGGAAGCATACTCTGTAGCATTTGAGCAACGTTGTTAGAAACTTGACCCTGCTTTTATGTTCGGTATTGAAAGACCTTTCTGTAAAATCCCTTATTCAAAGCTTTTTCTCACTGAAAAAGAAAACTTTTTTTTTGTTTGTTTGGTTTAACTGTAGCATGGATCTTAGTTTTAGTTTGACACTTACAGTGAAGAAGAAAAAATTTTACTTCCTGTTTTCACATTTAGGAAACTTCTGATCAACATCTTTGAACTTGAGGCGTTGATGCTAATTAAGCTTCCAGGAACTTCTGCTTTACCCTTCTTAATCAGAAACATTTAAAACCTGTTTTAGCTTTTCCTTGGAGTTCCTGGTTTTAACTTGGACTGGCTTAAAATAGAAATTGTATTGTCTTTTTGTATGTTTGGATTTTTTTGTGTTTTGTTTTTAACTTTCAACTTGAGTTTTAAGATCATTAATCAAAGGCTTTTCTTTTCAGTCAGTGGCACTGCTCTCAGTGGCAGGACTTAGAGGCTCAGCATTTCCCTAATGCAATTAAAAATATTAAACGTAGAGAGTATTTCATGAATTTGAGCTCCAAACATCTGTTCGTCACATACCTACATTTTGAAATGAACAAGTAGATATAAGAAACACAGGACATTTCTTCCCTCAGCTTCCTTCCTTTCTTGCTTTTTGCTCTCTTTTGGATGAGGTAAATTATCAACTACTCTGTCACCTTTAAGCAAGCCATAAAGAGGCTAATTGTGGCTTTACATATTTTAAAATGCATTCGTTTATACCTGGTCTTTATTTAAATGTCCCCCCACAAACATATTCCCCCTCTGAACTATTGAAAATGTCTTATCTTTCAATATTTTATAACTCCACTGATTATAATCAGCCTGCTCTTTTATCTTTCAGATGGTGTTTATTTGTGGTATGGTATACGTGTCTGTATCTGATTGTCAGTTGTTTTCATCTACCAAATACAACTACATAATTTTTGTTCATAGGTTACAGTGAAGCAATAAAAACAATATTTGACATTGGAAAGATGTTATGGGAGCTCATCACCCACCCCACCCCCCCAGTTCAGGATGAATTGGTTGAGTCTTCTCATGATTAAGAGCCCCAGCTAACTTCATTGAATTTTGGCTTAAGTTTTGCTTCCAAATAGGATTCTACAGTAGATAATATAAATTTAAAACTTTACTAAATTTCTTAGAGAATGGCTCAGTGCCAAAACATAATTTACTTTTTCAAGATTGAAGCAAATTCATTTGATAGGCTTTTTGACCTATGAGAATTTGCTTTTGGTAAAATGAATCCAGAGTACACTGAGGTGAACCTTGGGTTCATTTCTGAATTTCATTTGCAATCAGTATCAGGTGTGTTAATTTCGTATTTTGGTTCCTACTAAGAGGCTTGGGATCTCCTTAAGGACAGAGCTTTGTAGATATTTTCTGCTACACAGTGCAATCTGCTGTTTAATGTATGCATAACTGAAAGGTTTGTACAACTGCCTCCCCACAGCACGACTTCCCTGCCCCCTTCTCTCCTGTTCTTCCTACATGAAGTATCATATATTTTGCTAGAAAGAAAAGCCCTTTTGGAAATTGCCTATTTCATAAATTGTCTAGTGACATAAAGGGGTTGGATGCTATATTCTTGTCTCATTTATTTTGAAAACTTTGCTACTGAACTCACCTTAATCAATGAGCTCAGTGTTGTCTCCAATAAGTTATGTGTTGGATATATTGATTGGGAGGGATTTTAGAAAACCCGTCTGGGGTTTATAATGTCAGCAGTGTTTTGATTATGAAAAGAGTTGGAACCTGGGGACATGGAACCAGGTGGCGAATGTCCTAAAGCCAGTGGTGACATGGTGGACTGGTTCCCTCCTGGGATCTAGTTCATGCCCTGCACTTTAACTGTGGTGACTGGCTACTATAGATTCACTTTTTTGCTCATTAAAATGTTAAAAAATCAAACTGTACATAAAAAGATTTGTGAAAATATAAACTTGGGAATTGATCTGGAGAGCTGGCACAAAATCCTCCCCACCCCCTGCCTCAGCAATGAGGTCATTTACATTTCATCAGCTGTGCTGCATCTCTGAGATCCCATTTATATGGCAGTAGTTGAAGGTGTATTGAGGCTGGTTGTCTGAAGGAGCTCGTGTATGGGAGAGAACAGGAAAATTGCCCTGTATGAAGAAAGTTCCTTAGCCACAGTCACAGGTTTTAGAGAGAAAAAGGCAGTTATGACTGTTCCCCAGGAAAAGTTAATATTGAGAGACTCTGGAACACTCTCCCATAACCAGAATGCTCCAATAGATTTAAGTCAGGGTTTGAAAGCCCCATGCCTTGGAGAATGGTCTTGTGTTTTCCTTCTGACCAAGGATAACTACTTGAATACTTGTATAGAAAAAAAGCATTATTAAGAAGATTGGTTTAAAATTAATTTTAAAAAGAAAATTGGTTTATTGTAGCATTTTTTTTTACAAAGAACATCACTTTTTTTCTTCATTTTCTTCTTTTCCCAAAATTAATTCAATTCTGCCTGAGATGATGCACAGATATGCCTAGCACTGAGTAGATGCTCATTTTTGTTTTCCTGTGACAGCCCACTACCATCTTGTTTGACTTAAGTTGGAATATCAAGCTCTTGCAATATCACAAACATGAAGAAACATATTGTCATGTACAAACATGTGCGTACATTTGCCTATACAACCCCCCTCCACCCCTTTGCTTAATTAGACTTATCACTTCCTTCCTGGGTTAAAGGGAGAGCTTGTGGGAAATGAGTTAATCCTCAGTCTATGTTGGATCTTTTGGTATTCTGATACTATCTGACAGACAAGTTCAAGGTTGGTTATTGCTCTTGACATTAGAAAGTGGTAAGTAGTTTCTATATTGTAGTGAGTAATAAGTTGGGCATATTAGATTCCTTTGACACTGCTGCAGAGCACAATGCTTCCTTGTAGCCATGGGGGTCCTTTCTTGCAAAAATCTTTGAGGCTTTTGCCAGCGTGACTCCAGCATAGAGAAGTGCTTTCTGCACCTGAAACTTTTGAGGGGTAAAAGATAACTGTCTTTGTAGCTGATATTGTCAATGAGTGAACACTTGGTACTGAGTTTTAAAGAATACTTAGTACATATACTGAATTTAAGAGGTTCTTTATGATGTTACTTAAAACTTGAAATCGAAGGATTTTTTTGGGGGGGAGGAATGGAAGTCATACGACTTTGATGTATGTGGACTGCAGAATATTTTATAATTTAATTAAAGCTGCAGATGTTAAAATGAATGTTTTATGTGATCTCTTTTCCAATACTTGCCTAAGAGTAACATTATGCCCTGAGAATTGCTCTTGTTTCTCAATTACCTATTGCAATGTATTTAAACAGTTGGTTCTAAAACCATATATATCTGAATGTCACATTATAAATCAACTGATTTGAAAGTAATGCCTCTGAGAAGATGCTGAGGTATTCTTATTCACTCTTTCAGTTTTTAGTTTCCTATTCATTACTCTTTTATGACATGCCTTAACAATGCTGTGATATACATAGCACCGGTCTAAGATGATATTAAAAAATAGGATATGCTCAATTGAATTATGTAGGCAGAACATGCTCTGGCAGAGCAAGTCGGTGTTCTTTCTGCTTCATTGAGTGGGTTATTAGATTGATGTGGTTTATTTCTTGAATGATAGAACTGGTTTTAAAAATAAATGAAGCGAGAAGCATCAATTCAGTTAGCATTGATAATTCATTATTATTGGTTAGAAAAGTGCTACATTTGTAAACTGATCTTTAATTTATCACTTGGATTAGGATTTGCTGTGGACAGGTTTGTTTTAATTTGAACCAGCTTCTCAGTGACGGAAAAATGTGTTCTTCATTTTGTCTTAAAAGTGGAGATTTTAAATAGTTAAAAAGCAAATCAAATTTGTGAAAGGAATACTTTTAAAATTTATGATATTGGTCTATGAACTTATGGTAAGCACCAACTGTGGTCTGTGCAAGCCTTTTAAGTAACACTAAGGAAAATTCTGGAAGGAAGTAGTAATTATTTGTACCTGTGATTAGCTTTGTTGATAGGTGCTGTATATGTGGACTGTGTCTGTTAGGAAGAGTCTCACATGACTGCATCTTGAGTCTCGTGTGCCATTGTTTATTGTTTGTCCACTTATTGTAAGAAGATTATCTTTATGAATAAGTCTTTGAGATATAACTCCAATTTTTGTGCCCTCTCCTGAACAATGTACTTGGTTTTATGTACCCCTTTATATGTGAAAATGATATTTAAAAAGATAGTTTGCTTTGTATTTTCATAAATTGTAAGCAGGTAAGTATATCAGTTATAATAATGGTATTTAACTAAAAATAGTGCTTATGTACAGTAATTACAGTTTGATTCTAAAATCAACTTATGCCAGAAATGGCAACTTTTTTTAATAAAATGAATAAAATTTAAAACTCTGAAAATGTAGTTGATAGTGTTCAGGGACAATTATCTTCAAGTTGGCTTTCTATTCTGCTGTGATTTGGCCTATTGATGTTAGGAAGCGTAGTCTAATCCCGGCCCCCTCTGTTCCTAGGTAACAGGCAAAAACAGTGCCAGCAACAGCGGCCCTGCCAGGCCAAACCCATGTGGCTCGGTGTTATTCACTCTGATCCATATGGTCAGGCTGGAGATGGTCCCTGGAGGGGTGTTAACACTCAGCAACCCAACCTCCTCCCTCCCTTCAGAGCTTTCCTGCATGGCTCCTGCTGCTTGCCCATGTGTGATTCTTGATTAATTTTTCATTTTTAATGAAGTTTGATCATGTTTATTATTTCTCATGATTGACTGCCTGGTACTCCTCCCATGTAATTGATAAAGCCCATATTTCTTCATCTGTCTCCTTTCTTCAGGGTAAAGTTGCTAGATTGTGTGCTGTGCTTAATGTTAGATTTATTGGTCCCATTAGATGTATAAATTATCTCTCTTTCTCTCCACAGGAAGTTCTACAGACTTTGACCAAGTTTTGTTTCCCCTTCTATGTGGACAGGTAGTGTCAGATTTTCAAACTTTATTAGGAAAAAAAAGTGTCAGTAAACCTGCTATAGAAAATAAAAACCATACCATTCTTAACATTCTGTCTGTTTAACCATGATTTAAAACACCCATGTTCCAAGGAGAGTTGCAGTATTCTCCTTTCCTGGAGGTTTTATTGACACCATCAAAAAGTTTAAAGCTTAGAGCTTTGTATTGGTTAGTTTGTGAGATATATTTTGTAAGGCATTAAGTTTTTGATTTTGGTTGTCAGACTTAAACTATGATTAAGAATGGTTGGTATTTAACCCAGTGGTGTTTAATTTTTATTTAAAGAGAAATATATCTGGCTTAAAAATAATACATGAATCCATGTTCTTATGATGGTTATATAGACTTTCTTTTTCCTAAACTTCAACTTAGAATTTAAGTCAGCATAGTCCTATCTTGTTTAAAGGTACTGAGGTATTTAAAAGGCATAACTAAAAGGCATGTTTAAAAGGCATGTTGCTAAATAGTATTTTGCATTCTGTTTAAGTGGCTAAGAACGATAACATCTCTGGGGAAATAAAAAATTTTCCATAGGTTTGTAGACTTAACAAATACACAGCCATCTAAACATTTCCTTAGTATTTGTTATGATAAACTCTTTCTTGGAGAGGTACAAATATAAGAACATCAACATAATTAAAATAATTTGAAGGTTTTCCTTGTTTTTAAAATAAGTCATAAAAAGAGTTTTATTTTTACTTTATAAAACTACAGTTTACTGATTTTGTTAATAAAATGACACTGCAGTGATGTGCATCTAATTTTCAAGAACTGTCTGCTGGTTTTTTCATTATAGTTAAAGCATTGTTATAATCATTTGTCCTCTTGATTGTTGCATTTGAATTTTTATTTAATGGGCCATTGAACTATGTATGAGATGTACATACATTTTTAAAAATAATTCCTCTTTTAATGACAGAGATTTTAGAAAATAACCACTATCTTTAAATTCCAGAATATGTTCTAAGCAAGCTATAAAACTTGTCTACCTTCAGGAAGTTTCTATCATGTATTTTAATATGCCCAATCAAGGCAGGGGCTGAAGGATTTTGGAGTATATTTGGGTAGTATGCGCTTTGGCTCTTTTCTATACTTGGTAGTGCTTCTGAGTGTCCTGGTTTATTTAGCATAAACCTGACAATGGTGTGAGGTGAGAACCAGTAGCCAGAGGGGTTTGAAAGAGTACTAAAAAGCGCCTTTGGAGTGTTGCCAGTCATTTATAATCCTTGCTCTCCTTGGTTCTAATGTTATTTTTTTAAGCCAATCAGCCATTGTCATGTTTCCAGACACAGCTCTTTTGACCATGGTACCAGGAACAGGTTGGTGCTCAAAACAAAATAGGCTTAATTTCAAGAGGGTCAGTCTTTGCAATGAGTGTTCTCTTTTCTTTAATCTTGGTTTTTTCCTAGACATAGCAAGAAGGTAGGGTTTTGTTTAGAGATATTTAAGGAAAATTCACATTTATGTGTATGAATTAGTGATGCATGAAGTCTCCTACAGTCATTTATAAAAGTATTATAAATTATGGCCAGGGCATATTTATATGCAGTAATAAAGCAAACATATATTTTTAAAAAATGTACCTAGATGTTTAACAAAGAAAGATAAGAGTACATGTTTATGTGATTTTTTTTTTTTTGTCCGAATGGTGATTTGTTTTGGATAGATGTTCCTTAATTGACTTCAAAAACTATTAGAAGAAATACACAATGCAATTAAATCTCCACCCTTGCCTAACACGTACATGTACATGCATACAAGTATACTTTTTCTCTCATTTATACTATACACACCCCTCTAATTACTTACCTGTCTGAAAATGGAAGAAAAACAGGATCCTTTCAGTGATACTTTTTTTTTCCCCATAATTTTATTGAGAAACAAATAGCAGTGAGACAATTTCAAAGCAAATTGGTAGAACAGTTTCAATAATTAACACGTTGCATACTCTCTTCCTAGTCAGTGATATTTCTAAAGTATATTTTGTTACCGATTATGTTGGGTAACTTTTTCATTATTGCAGAAAAAATTTTTTTCTTCTAAAACACATTTCTCTGATTTACTGTTTCCTCATCTTATTCCTCATATTATTTTCACAAAATAACTTAGAAGTAGAAGTGCCCCTACATAGATACATTTTAATCCCTAACATATACAGTAGTTCTTTTTTTATGCTGCATTACGTTACATGCTGGCACTTCGGATGTTTCTCTGTTAATTAAAAAAAAAAACCCACTTCATTTTGGGGACTATATTTTCTTCTGTTTTGCTCACTTCTAACCGTAGCACACTTTAAGGCAGAAGAAACAATTAAAATGAAGTTCATTTACAAATATACAAAAGTGTTTATGTTATAATGTCAATTAATTTGGAGTTAGCATTGTCAGATGTCCAGATTGTGAGGCCCACAAAGTTCCTCAGGTGTATTTGCTATTGTTTGACTTAGAACATACACCAGTGTGAGAGATGAGCAGTGCTCCAGGTGATTATGGTGGAAACAGAAAGCTTCCTAATCTTTTCACTGTCTGTGCTTTTCTACCCTAAGGAACAGTAATACAACTCTGTGATGTTTCTAGCCTATATCAAGAGTAGGATTTTCACAGTCATCATGAAGTCACCCGTTAACATTGACATCTTGCTGTCTGTTGTGTTGTTTTAAGGTTTTTCTTTTGGAAACCAGGATATATGAAAAATAATAATGCTGGTATCTCTTCAAAAGGAAGTGCTGCCTCATGTATTATCTCACTTTATCATCCTATCATAAGACATAAAAACAAATACCATTATTTTCATGTGAAATAATGTAAACTGCTGGGAAGTTGTGACTTGCCCAAGGTCTTTTTATGTTATAGCTCATCCTAGATTTTCATCTCCCAAATGAACACGTTTTTCAGGAGATTGCCTTGTGGGGAAGAATAGTAACAACAATAGAGGGAGAAAAGGAAGGAAATTGGCACCTGAATTCCTGACTGATTCTAGTCTGAATGCTGGACACTGTCTCAGTGAAAGCTATTCTTTCTAGTAGCTCTAGGAATTAATAGTGACATTTTTAACCCCAAAAGATTGAAGGATGGTTCAGGATTCGTAGTACAAGGCCATGGTCTCACACTTTGAACCCTGCCTTCCACGTGTTTCCCAGGCTAGACCAAGAAGAATTATAAAGGCGTCTTAACAATTAAAAGGATGAGAAGGTTAAAAAGACAGAAATGGTCAGAGAAAATTTGCCACCGTGGGTGAGATTTGTGTTGAGTCTGCCAGGCCGGCAAGCAGTGGGTAAGTGGAAGGGGGAACCTAACACCCCATATGCACTGCAGAGCCAAGCAGAGGAGAAGCCCTGAGTGAGCCTGGAGATGTTCAGCCAGAGCAGATGGAGCATGCTGGGAAGAGGGTGGTGTGTGCGGCAAGAGCTTGGGCTCTGGCCACAGGAGGCCTTGAAAGTGTGTGGGAGCAGGACTGGAGGATTTTAAAGTTGAGATTCATCTGGTTTAAACATCCCATTCTACAGAAGGGAAGCCAAGATGAGCAGAGGGAAATGGCTCACTTTTCTTCACAACTATGTCATGCAGAGCTGGGAAAAGAACAGGTGCTTATTCTCAGTCCAGAGTTATTTCTACCCTTTGTGTCCTTGAAGGTCTTGTTGGAGTGTAGTGAAGAATCACTGTTGAGTTCACTCTCAGAAACTTGTCACTATTATTGATGAAAGCATTTTCTTAAAATAAATAAATAAAAAGCTTGTCCTGGCTCATATTATAGTGACTACTTCTTGTACTTCATAGTTGACATCCAGCTTCAGTTTGAACACTCAAGAGATGTACTGGACGGTGGAAAAGCTATTCCTTTCATGTTTGTGCTTATTCTGCTTCAGAACCCAGAATGCCAGCTATCACTTAGTTGTCTTGTGTATACTTTTACCCACATATGACAGGATCACATATGACAGGACATCATCTTTGCAAAGGCAAAGGCATCATTCAGTGGTTTATAATGTAACCACAGATGCAAATATGATTTAAATGCTACTTTCCACTTTCTTATGTATGAGACATTGTACTGTGTTCTTTTCTTGCCCTAAAAAGCCACATATTTGAAAGATTACTATAATCAAGTTGCCATATACAGGAGCAGAGGCTCAGATGTGATACGATATATGATGAGGTATATCATATTATAATATATTGCCTCCAAATATGGAACCTGCTCTACTTTGCAATATCCATTCTTCCCTACTTTTCAAACTGGAATCTGTTTGGCCCATATTAGCCCTTTATTTTAACTTTCATTATAGATTTGACTGTGCCCTGTGATTATCTTGACATCATTAGAAAATTTCAAAGACAGTTGGACCTTAGTAGACTGTTAGTTTGGATGCTACCCCTGATTTACTCTGTGCTGTTTGACAAGTGGCTTCTGCCCTGAGAGGCTTTGTTTCTTCAGCACTAAGTTGAGGGAAGTGGTTGCTCTCTCTACTGTTCCTCTATTTTTTAGTACTTTTCAATGCTATAGTTACTTGCATTTACTTTGTCAGGCTCACCTAGGCAAGGGAGTATAGATTTTGCCTTTATTTAGCAGTGGGGCCAGCCACCACTCAGGCAGTTTGAGAGGATGCCATTCTTACCATTTAGGTCTTTGACCAGGGAAAGTATGAAGCTGTAGGCTTACACAGCTGAAAGGTGTGCTTGTAGAAGGAAGATTTGAGGCACATGGAGCCACAAGTTGGGAGATGTGATGGCTTCATAGATCTTGACTGCTGCTCACCACTTCACATGCCTGAAGGAAAGACTAGCTGCACAGTAGATAGCTCAACGGGTAATTGCCAGTAAGCTATAGTTAATAGGTGGTGGCAAAATGTTTTTCCTCCCACCTATTGAATTTTAGAATTGCGTGACTAGTAATTTTTGTGTATATATCATATGCTATTTAATTATATGTTATTTCTAATCCTCAAAACCAGCACATGCAGTAATT